TATTCTGTCTCTCACTGTTCAAATAAACCTACCATTAAAATTATAGACTGATCATTTCTTTGTCAGTGGGCAAACGTACAAAATCAGCAGGGTATAAAATACTTTTTTCCCTCACTGTATATATATGGAGATGTACCTGAGGATTGGAGGGAGATGCGGTTTTGGAGGTAGATAGGGGGCCAAGCCATGCAGCGCTTCGTAGGTTCGAAGAGCAGCGACCTTGAATTGGATGCGGAAGTGGACCGGTATCCATTGCGAGCTGCGGAGGGTGACCCGTGATGTCTTCAGTTCGGCTAACCCGCCCCATCATCCGGGCAGCTGCATTCTGCACAAACTGGAGCCTCTATGTACGTCCATATGTTCACCCCATCTCTACCACCCCCCGCGGTCTCCCCGGTCTCCCCCATCTCTCTCCATCTCCCCCATCTCTCTCCATCTCTCCCACATCTCCCCATCTCCCCCATCTCCCCCCATCTCTCCCTCATCTCCCCCATCTCTCTCGATCTCCCCCATCTCTCCCCGGTCTCCCCCCCATCTCTCCCCATCTCCCCCATCTCTCTCGATCTCCCCCATCTCTCCCCGGTCTCCCCCCATCTCTCCCCATCTCCCCCATCTCTCTCCATCTTCCCCATCTCTCTCCGGTCTCCCCCCATCTCTCTCCATCTCCCCCCATCTCCCCCATCTCCCCCATCTCCCCCCATCTCTCCCTCATCTCCCCCATCTCTCTCGATCTCCCCCATCTCTCCCCGGTCTCCCCCCATCTCTCCCCATCTCCCCCCATCTCCCCCCATCTCTCCCACATCTCCCCGGTCTCCCCCATCTCTCTCCATCTCCCCCATCTCCCCCCATCTCTCCCAGATCTCCCCATCTCCCCCATCTCCCCTCATCTCTCCCTCATCTCCCCCATCTCTCTCGATCTCCCCCATCTCTCCCCGGTCTCCCCCCATCTCTCCCCATCTCCCCCATCTCTCTCGATCTCCCCCATCTCTCCCCGGTCTCCCCCCATCTCTCCCCATCTCCCCCATCTCTCTCCATCTCCCCAATCTCTCTCCGGTCTCCCCCCATCTCTCTCCATCTCCCCCCATCTCCCCCATCTCCCACATCTCCCCCCATCTCTCCCTCATCTCCCCCATCTCTCTCGATCTCCCCCATCTCTCCCCGGTCTCCCCCCATCTCTCCCCATCTCCCCCCATCTCCCCCCATCTCTCCCACATCTCCCCGGTCTCCCCCATCTCTCTCCATCTCCCCCATCTCCCCCCATCTCTCCCACATCTCCCCATCTCCCCCATCTCCCCCCATCTCTCCCTCATCTCCCCCATCTCTCTCGATCTCCCCCATCTCTCCCCGGTCTCCCCCCATCTCTCCCCATCTCCCCCATCTCTCTCGATCTCCCCCATCTCTCCCCGGTCTCCCCCCATCTCTCCCCATCTCCCCCATCTCTCTCCATCTCCCCCATCTCTCTCCGGTCTCCCCCCATCTCTCTCCATCTCCCCCCATCTCCCCCATCTCCCCCATCTCCCCCCATCTCTCCCTCATCTCCCCCATCTCTCTCGATCTCCCCCATCTCTCCCCGGTCTCCCCCCATCTCTCCCCATCTCCCCCCATCTCCCCCCATCTCTCCCACATCTCCCCGGTCTCCCCCATCTCTCTCCATCTCCCCCATCTCCCCCCATCTCTCCCACATCTCCCCATCTCCCCCATCTCCCCCCATCTCTCCCTCATCTCCCCCATCTCTCTCGATCTCCCGCATCTCTCCCCGGTCTCCCCCCATCTCTCCCCATCTCCCCCATCTCTCTCGATCTCCCCCATCTCTCTCCGGTCTCCCCCCATCTCTCTCCATCTCCCCCCATCTCCCCCATCTCCCCCCATATCTCCCTCATCTCCCCCATCTCTCTCGATCTCCCCCATCTCTCCCCGGTCTCCCCCCATCTCTCCCCATCTCCCCCCATCTCCCCCATCTCCCCCATCTCTCCCCGGTCTCCCCCCATCTCTCTCCATCTCCCCCCCATCTCCCCCATCTCCCCCATCTCCCCCCATCTCTCCCTCATCTCCCCCATCTCTCTCGATCTCCCCCATCTCTCTCCGGTCTCCCCCCATCTCTCTCCATCTCCCCCATCTCTCCCCATCTCCCCCATCTCCCCCCATCTCTCCCTCATCTCCCCCATCTCTCTCGATCTCCCCCATCTCTCCCCGGTCTCCCCCCATCTCTCCCCATCTCCCCCCATCTCCCCCATCTCCCCCATCTCTCCCCGGTCTCCCCCCATCTCTCTCCATCTCCCCCCATCTCCCCCATCTCCCCCCATCTCTCCCTCATCTCCCCCATCTCTCTCGATCTCCCCCATCTCTCCCCGGTCTCCCCCCATCTCTCCCCATCTCCCCCCATCTCTCTCGATCTCCCCCATCTCTCTCCGGTCTCCCCCCATCTCTCTCCATCTCCCCCCATCTCCCCCATCTCCCCCATCTCCCCCCATCTCTCCCTCATCTCCCCCATCTCTCTCGATCTCCCCCATCTCTCCTCGGTCTCCCCCCATCTCTCCCCATCTCCCCCCATCTCCCCCATCTCTCCCACATCTCCCCGGTCTCCCCCATCTCTCTCCATCTCCCCCATCTCCCCCCATCTCTCCCACATCTCCCCATCTCCCCCATCTCCCCCCATCTCTCCCTCATCTCCCCCATCTCTCTCGATCTCCCCCATCTCTCTCCGGTCTCCCCCCATCTCTCTCCATCTCCCCCCATCTCCCCCATCTCCCCCCATCTCTCCCTCATCTCCCCCATCTCTCTCGATCTCCCCCATCTCTCCCCGATCTCCCCCCATCTCTCCCCATCTCCCCCCATCTCCCCCATCTCCCGCATCTCTCCCCGGTCTCCCCCCATCTCTCTCCATCTCCCCCCATCTCCCCCATCTCCCCCCATCTCTCCCTCATCTCCCCCATCTCTCTCGATCTCCCCCATCTCTCTCCGGTCTCCCCCCATCTCTCTCCATCTCCCCCATCTCTCCCCATCTCCCCCATCCCCCCCCATCTCTCCCATCTCTCCCCATCTCCCCCCTCTCCCCCCATCTCTCCCTCATCTCCCCCATCTCTCTCGATCTCCCCCATCTCTCCCCGGTCTCCCTCCATCTCTCCCCATCTCCCCTATCTCTCCATCTCCCCCATCTCTCCCCGGTCTCCCCCCATCTCTCTCCATCTCCCCCATCTCCCCCCATCTCTCTCCATCTCCCCCCATCTCCCCCATCTCCCCCATCTCTCCCTCATCTCCCCCATCTCTCTGGATCTCCCCCATCTCTCTCCGGTCTCCCCCCATCTCTCTCCATCTCCCCCCATCTCCCCCATCTCCCCCATCTCTCTCCATCTCTCCCATCTCTCCCCATCTCCCCCCATCTCTCCCTCATCTCCCCCATCTCTCTCGATCTCCCCCATCTCTCCCCGGTCTCCCCCCATCTCTCTCCATCTCCCCCATCTCCCCCCATCTCTCTCCATCTCCCCCCATCTCCCCCATCTCCCCCATCTCTCCCTCATCTCCCCCATCTCTCTGGATCTCCCCCATCTCTCTCCGGTCTCCCCCCATCTCTCTCCATCTCCCCCCCATCTCCCCCATCTCCCCCATCTCTCCCACATCTCCCCATCTCCCCCATCTCCCCCCATCTCTCCCTCATCTCCCCCATCTCTCTCGATCTCCCCCATCTCTCTCCGGTCTCCCCCCATCTCTCTCCATCTCCCCCCATCTCCCCCATCTCCCCCCATCTCTCCCTCATCTCCCCCATCTCTCTCGATCTCCCCCATCTCTCCCCGATCTCCCCCATCTCTCCCCGATCTCCCCCCATCTCTCCCCATCTCCCCCCATCTCCCCCATCTCCCGCATCTCTCCCCGGTCTCCCCCCATCTCTCTCCATCTCCCCCCATTTCCCCCATCTCCCCCCATCTCTCCCTCATCTCCCCCATCTCTCTCGATCTCCCCCATCTCTCTCCGGTCTCCCCCCATCTCTCTCCATCTCCCCCATCTCTCCCCATCTCCCCCATCTCCCCCCATCTCTCCCATCTCTCCCCATCTCCCCCATCTCCCCCCATCTCTCCCTCATCTCCCCCATCTCTCTCGATCTCCCCCATCTCTCCCCGGTCTCCCTCCATCTCTCCCCATCTCCCCTATCTCTCCATCTCCCCCATCTCTCCCCGGTCTCCCCCCATCTCTCTCCATCTCCCCCATCTCCCCCCATCTCTCTCCATCTCCCCCCATCTCCCCCATCTCCCCCATCTCTCCCTCATCTCCCCCATCTCTCTGGATCTCCCCCATCTCTCTCCGGTCTCCCCCCATCTCTCTCCATCTCCCCCCATCTCCCCCATCTCCCCCATCTCTCTCCATCTCCCCCATCTCTCCCCATCTCCCCCCATCTCTCCCTCATCTCCCCCATCTCTCTCGATCTCCCCCATCTCTCCCCGGTCTCCCCCCATCTCTCTCCATCTCCCCCATCTCCCCCCATCTCTCTCCATCTCCCCCCATCTCCCCCATCTCCCCCATCTCTCCCTCATCTCCCCCATCTCTCTGGATCTCCCCCATCTCTCTCCGGTCTCCCCCCATCTCTCTCCATCTCCCCCCATCTCCCCCATCTCCCCCATCTCTCTCGATCTCCCCCATCTCTCCCCATCTCCCCCCATCTCTCCCTCATCTCCCCCATCTCTCTCGATCTCCCCCATCTCTCCCCGGTCTCCCCCCATCTCTCCCCATCTCCCCTATCTCTCCATCTCCCCCATCTGTCCCCGGTCTCCCCCCATCTCTCTCCATCTCCCCCATCTCCCCCATCTCTCTCCATCTCCCCCATCTCTCTCCATCTCCCCCCATCTCTCGGTCTCCCCCCATCTATCCCCTATCTCCCCCTTCTTTCTCCATGTCCCCCATCTCCCCCCATCTCTCTCCATCTCCCCCCATCTCTCGGTCTCCCCCCATCTATCCCCTATCTCCCCCATCTCTCTCCATCTCCCCCCATCTCTGCCCGGTTCCGGCAGCCGCCAGCTGCAGCAAGGAGGAGGAACGGCCGAGTTGGAGTCGGGCCCGGGGCGTGATGGTCTGGGCTTCGAGCACTCGCAGGTGCAGCTTTGTGTCTCCCACTTTCTGTGTTGTGTCTCCCACTTTGTGAGTTGTGTCTCCCACTTTGTGAGTTGTGTCTCCCACTTTCTGTGTTGTGTCTCCCACTTTGTGAGTTGTGTCTCCCACTTTCTGTGTTGTGTCTCCCACTTTCTGTGTTGTGTCTCCCACTTTGTGAGTTGTGTCTCCCACTTTCTGTGTTGTGTCTCCCACTTTGTGAGTTGTGTCTCCCACTTTCTGTGTTGTGTCTCCCACTTTCTGTGTTGTGTCTCCCACTTTCTGTGTTGTGTCTCCCACTTTCTGTGTTGTGTCTCCCACTTTGAGTTGTGTCTCCCACTTTCTGTGTTGTGTCTCCCACTTTGTGAGTTGTGTCCCCCACTTTGTGTGTTGTGTCTCTCACTTTGTAAGTTGTCTCCCACTTTGTGAGTTGTGTCTCCCACTTTGTGAGTTGTGTCTCTCACTTTGTGAGTTGTGTCTCCCACTTTCTGTATTGTGTCTCCCACTTTCTGTGTTGTGTCTCCCACTTTGAGTTGTGTCTCCCACTTTCTGTGTTGTGTCTCCCACTTTGTGAGTTGTGTCCCCCACTTTGTGTGTTGTGTCTCTCACTTTGTAAGTTGTCTCCCACTTTGTGAGTTGTGTCTCCCACTTTCTGTGTTGTGTCTACCACTTTCTGTGTTGTGTCTCCCACTTTGTGAGTTGTGTCTCCCACTTTCTGTGTTGTGTCTCCCACTTTCTGTGTTGTGTCTCCCACTTTGTGAGTTGTGTCTCCCACTTTGTGAGTTGTGTCTCCCACTTTGAGTTGTGTCTCCCACTTTGTGAGTTGTGTCTCCCACTTTGTGAGTTGTGTCTTCCACTTTGTGAGTTATGTCTCCCACTTTCTGTGTTGTGTCTCCCACTTTCTGTGTTGTGTCTCCCACTTTGTGAGTTGTGTCTCCCACTTTGTGAGTTGTGTCTCCCACTTTGAGTTGTGTCTCCCACTTTGTGAGTTGTGTCTCCCACTTTGTGAGTTGTGTCTCTCACTTTGTGAGTTGTGTCTCCCACTTTGTGAGTTGTGTCTCCCACTTTGTGAGTTGTGTCTCCCACTTTGTGAGTTGTGTCTCACTTTGTGAGTTGTGTCTCCCACTTTGTGAGTTGTGTCTCTCACTTTGTGAGTTGTCTCACTTTGTGTGTTGTGTCTCCCACTTTGTGAGTTGTGTCTCCCACTTTGTGAGTTGTGTCTCCCACTTTGTGAGTTGTGTCTCCCACTTTGTGTGTTGTGTCTCCCACTTTGTGAGTTGTGTCTCTCACTTTGTGAGTTGTGTCTCCCACTTTGTGAGTTGTGTCTCTCACTTTGTGAGTTGTGTCTCCCACTTTGTGAGTTGTGTCTCCCACTTTGTGAGTTGTGTCTCCCACTTTGTGTGTTGTGTCTCCCACTTTGTGAGTTGTGTCTCACTTTGTGAGTTGTGTCTCCCACTTTGTGAGTTGTGTCTCCCACTTTGTGAGTTGTGTCTCCCACTTTGTGAGTTGTGTCTCTCACTTTGTGAGTTGTGTCTCCCACTTTGTGAGTTGTGTCTCTCACTTTGTGAGTTGTGTCTCTCACTTTGTGAGTTGTGTCTCCCACTTTGTGAGTTGTGTCTCCCACTTTGTGAGTTGTGTCTCCCACTTTGTGAGTTGTGTCTCCCACTTTGTGAGTTGTGTCTCCCACTTTGTGAGTTGTGTCTCTCACTTTGTGAGTTGTGTCTCCCACTTTGTGAGTTGTGTCTCCCACTTTGTGAGTTGTGTCTCTCACTTTGTGAGTTGTGTCTCTCACTTTGTGAGTTGTGTCTCCCACTTTGTGAGTTGTGTCTCTCACTTTGTGAGTTGTGTCTCTCACTTTGTGAGTTGTGTCTCTCACTTTGTGAGTTGTGTCTCCCATTTTGTGAGTTTTGTCTCCCACTTTGTGTGTTGTGTCTCCCACTTTGTGAGTTGTGTCTCCCACTTTGTGAGTTGTGTCTCTCACTTTGTGAGTTGTGTCTCTCACTTTGTGAGTTGTGTCTCCCACTTTGTGAGTTGTGTCTCCCACGTTCTGAGTTGTGTCTCCCACTTTGTGAGTTGTGTCTCTCACTTTGTGTGTTGTGTCTCTTACTTTGTGAGTTGTGTCTCCCACTTTGTGAGTTGTGTCTCTCACTTTGTGTGTTGTGTCTCCCACTTTGTGAGTTGTGTCTCCCACTTTGTGAGTTGTGTCTCCCACTTTGTGAGTTGTCTCTCACTTTGTGAGTTGTGTCTCCCACTTTGTGTGTTGTGTCTCTCACTTTGTGAGTTGTGTCTCCCACTTTGTGTGTTGTGTCTCCCACTTTGTGAGTTGTGTCTCCAACTTTGTGAGTTGTGTGTCTCACTTTGTGAGTTGTGTCTCCCACTTTGTGAGTTGTGTCTCTAACTTTGTGAGTTGTGTCTCTCACTTTGTGAGTTGTGTCTCCCACTTTGTGAGTTGTGTCTCCCACTTTGTGTGTTGTGTCTCTCACTTTGTGAGTTGTGTCTCCCACTTTGTGAGTTGTGTCCCCCACTTTGTGTGTTGTGTCCCTCACTTTGTGTGTTGTCTCTCACTTTGTGTGTTGTGTCTCTCACTTTGTGAGTTGTGTCTCTCACTTTGTGAGTTGTGTCTCCCACTTTGTGAGTTGTGTCCCCCACTTTGTGTGTTGTGTCTCTCACTTTGTGTGTTGTCTCTCACTTTGTGTGTTGTGTCTCTCACTTTGTGAGTTGTGTCTCTCACTTTGTGAGTTGTGTCTCTCACTTTGAGTGTTGTGTCTCTCACTTTGTGAGTTGTGTCTCTCACTTTGTAAGTTGTGTCTCCCACTTTGTGAGTTGTGTCTCCCACTTTGTGAGTTGTGTCTCCCACTTTGTGAGTTGTGTCTCTCACTTTGTGAGTTGTGTCTCCCACTTTCTGTGTTGTGTCTCCCACTTTGTGAGTTGTGTCTCTCACTTTGTGAGTTGTGTCTCCCACTTTGTGAGTTGTGTCTCTCACTTTGTGAGTTGTGTCTCCCACTTTGTGAGTTGTGTCTCCCACTTTGTGAGTTGTGTCTCTCACTTTGTGAGTTGTGTCTCTCACTTTGTGAGTTGTGTCTCCCACTTTCTGTGTTGTGTCTCCCACTTTGTGAGTTGTGTCTCTCACTTTGTGAGTTGTGTCTCTCACTTTGTGAGTTGTGTCTCCCACTTTCTGTGTTGTTTCTCCCACTTTGTGAGTTGTGTCTCTCACTTTGTGAGTTGTGTCTCCCACTTTGTGAGTTGTGTCTCTCACTTTGTGAGTTGTGTCTCTCACTTTGTGTGTTGTGTCTCTCACTTTCTGAGTTGTGTCTCCCACTTTGTGAGTTGTGTCTCCCACTTTGTGAGTTGTGTCTCCCACTGTGTGAGTTGTGTCTCCCACTTTGTGAGTTGTGTCTCTCACTTTGTGAGTTGTGTCTCTCACTTTGTGAGTTGTGTCTCCCACTTTGTGAGTTGTGTCCCCCACTTTGTGTGTTGTGTCTCTCACTTTGTGAGTTGTGTCTCTCACTTTGTGTGTTGTGTCTCCCATTTTGTGAGTTTTGTCTCCCACTTTGTGTGTTGTGTCTCCCACTTTGTGAGTTGTGTCTCCCACTTTGTGAGTTGTGTCTCTCACTTTGTGAGTTGTGTCTCTCACTTTGTGAGTTGTGTCTCCCACTTTGTGAGTTGTGTCTCCCACGTTCTGAGTTGTGTCTCCCACTTTGTGAGTTGTGTCTCTCACTTTGTGTGTTGTGTCTCTTACTTTGTGAGTTGTGTCTCCCACTTTGTGAGTTGTGTCTCTCACTTTGTGTGTTGTGTCTCCCACTTTGTGAGTTGTGTCTCCCACTTTGTGAGTTGTGTCTCCCACTTTGTGAGTTGTCTCTCACTTTGTGAGTTGTGTCTCCCACTTTGTGTGTTGTGTCTCTCACTTTGTGAGTTGTGTCTCCCACTTTGTGTGTTGTGTCTCCCACTTTGTGAGTTGTGTCTCCAACTTTGTGAGTTGTGTGTCTCACTTTGTGAGTTGTGTCTCCCACTTTGTGAGTTGTGTCTCTAACTTTGTGAGTTGTGTCTCTCACTTTGTGAGTTGTGTCTCCCACTTTGTGAGTTGTGTCTCCCACTTTGTGTGTTGTGTCTCTCACTTTGTGAGTTGTGTCTCCCACTTTGTGAGTTGTGTCCCCCACTTTGTGTGTTGTGTCCCTCACTTTGTGTGTTGTCTCTCACTTTGTGTGTTGTGTCTCTCACTTTGTGAGTTGTGTCTCTCACTTTGTGAGTTGTGTCTCCCACTTTGTGAGTTGTGTCCCCCACTTTGTGTGTTGTGTCTCTCACTTTGTGTGTTGTCTCTCACTTTGTGTGTTGTGTCTCTCACTTTGTGAGTTGTGTCTCTCACTTTGTGAGTTGTGTCTCTCACTTTGAGTGTTGTGTCTCTCACTTTGTGAGTTGTGTCTCTCACTTTGTAAGTTGTGTCTCCCACTTTGTGAGTTGTGTCTCCCACTTTGTGAGTTGTGTCTCCCACTTTGTGAGTTGTGTCTCTCACTTTGTGAGTTGTGTCTCCCACTTTCTGTGTTGTGTCTCCCACTTTGTGAGTTGTGTCTCTCACTTTGTGAGTTGTGTCTCCCACTTTGTGAGTTGTGTCTCTCACTTTGTGAGTTGTGTCTCCCACTTTGTGAGTTGTGTCTCCCACTTTGTGAGTTGTGTCTCTCACTTTGTGAGTTGTGTCTCTCACTTTGTGAGTTGTGTCTCCCACTTTCTGTGTTGTGTCTCCCACTTTGTGAGTTGTGTCTCTCACTTTGTGAGTTGTGTCTCTCACTTTGTGAGTTGTGTCTCCCACTTTCTGTGTTGTGTCTCCCACTTTGTGAGTTGTGTCTCTCACTTTGTGAGTTGTGTCTCTCACTTTGTGAGTTGTGTCTCCCACTTTGTGAGTTGTGTCTCTCACTTTGTGAGTTGTGTCTCTCACTTTGTGTGTTGTGTCTCTCACTTTCTGAGTTGTGTCTCCCACTTTGTGAGTTGTGTCTCCCACTTTGTGAGTTGTG